TGTAGAATCTTGATGTATTTGAGGATGTAATTGAAAATATGAAATCTAAAGATTTTACAGTAAACATCGACTGTGTTTCTACACGCTAGTGAGCTGTGGATGTGCTTTGTACACAAGGTATAGATCATGAGCCCATTAGAAGCCATGGGTTACAATCCTTGCCTGGCACAAATCAGCATGGTGCTCTCGGCTATAGTGGAGTCTAGCTGCCTTAACTCCAGCATCAGGCTCACACCCTTGTTGTTTATGTGACTGCTGTCCTTGAAAGGAATAACATTTAGCACATTACTCCTGGCTGGAGCGTGACTCTGGAATCCTTTTGTTTTGTGGAGGTCTATAAATCACCTGCCTCACCTAAGCTGTGCCCCACAGGCCTGTTATTTATGCAAACTTCAATACCAACATGATTATCATCTAAGCACGCTGCGCTTTTAAGACACAGTGAGCTCCCAAAATGTACCCGGAAGAGGCACAAGCTGTTGACAGCTGGCCAGGAAGCTGGGAGGGGGAAAGATATCATAGCGCTGACATTTCAGACAGCTCAGCCCTGGCGGCAAGCAGGAGCTTTGTAGAATGCATAGTGTAATGATTCTGGGCTAACAAGTGTTTGAAGATCATCGGCCTGATCCATCTCTATTACGTCGCTCTCATTCAGCATCCGTGAAATCCAAAGGGAACATGGTGCTATTGTGCTTGTAGGCTTCTTTCATTCCTCTCCTTTCTCCCCAAAAATCCACAATCTACCACTGGGCAATACCTATATCTGGACCAACCGAAAGGTCACGAAATAATGAGCAAGATTTTGAGTTCTCCAGAATTCTTATCCAGGCAGGTTGTTACATGGAAGAGGAGGAAGAGGAAAAGTTTCAGAAGCAGACAAATTAGGTTGGATGTTGAAGTCAACATGGAGATTGGAGCAGATGGAACACATCTCTGCTAGGCACTGAATGAAACAGGTTACAAATCTAGGGTTCAGGTGAAATGAACCAGTGGCCACTCCCCATTTTGAAACCTCAAAGGTCAACTGTTAGAGACCCAAGATGGCTGAAAAATGAAATAGAATTGGTCAGGGTTACCTGCCATCCCACACTGACCTTAAAAGTCCAGGGAGCAGCAATGCAGGGGCAAGTCATAGTAAGCCATATCCTGGTTTACTGTGATGTGCAAACCAGGCTAACTGCATTTGCAGAAAAACATCAGTGCATGATGAATTCCAGTGATGTGATTAGGGATAGAGGATAAATTTGGTTCCTTTCCCATTCAAAGTCAAACCAACCTAATTTACACTTTCTGAAGCAATATGTGAACTGAAATTAGGCACTCTTTCAAATCTGCACTTCTCTGAATTTTGCAATGCAGTTCTCCAGTACATTTTTGTACAAAAAATGCTTATAGAAAGTTAAATTGTGCACAAAAATGCATTTACTGGTAGAAAGATGCATTATACTAGGGGGAAATTGCTTTACAAAAATTTGTATAATGGGCAAAATTACATACAAAAATTGAGTATATTAAGAGAAATTGACACTAAATTGCTGTTGAATTTTCATGAGAACCTTTTTTTTAAAGCAAGCTGATGTGGAAATGTGGAGAACTGAACTTAAGATTGGAAATTCAAGAAATGGAAACTAAAACTGAGTCATTCATGCACCTCTGGATATGACAAGGTTGACATGAGAAACCTCCTGGTGCACAGAAGAGTCCATCCAAAGTTGGCTTTTGTCTTGGCATTGCAGATAATTGAAAACTGTATTTGACTAACTGAAAGCAGCCCCAGGCTGGAATTTGAGCACACTAGCATGATTCATCTGGAACAACTAGAATGGGCCACTTTTTTCTGTGGATATGAAGGGTGGTTATATGAAGATGCCTTTATTGGCTGATTTCCCCCTTACAGTGTGATATTTCTTCCATCTTTCCCTATGACTTTTGATAGAAGATATTGTGAATATTCAACATCACTCTGTTTTACATTCAGGATTTTGACATCCAAAGATTTTGTGCTGCAGCAGTCAATGTATGACAGCAACTGCCATCCAGCATTTTACTAAATCCTACTGCAAGTCATCTATCAGATACTGTCAATTACCTACTGCAGTATTTGACAGTGTCTGATAGATGGCTTGCTATAGAATTTAGCAAATGGTAAGACAACCCCACCATGAGCAGCCAGTTTCTAAGCTCTATGGCAAGTTCTGATTTTCCCATTTAAGGCTGTATTTTGAATTTTCTGACTTTTGCAAAATTTCAATATTTTACATTGTCTTTTGGGAGTTTTACCTCTAGCTCACCACAGCAACTTCCATAACACCCTCTCCAACCCAACTGCTCATTGCTTTCTTTGGTGTTGCTGTTACAGATGGGTAGCCGTGTTGGTCTGCCATAGTCAAAACAAAAAAAATTCCTTCCAGTAGCACCTTAAAGACCAACTAAGTTAGTTCTTGGTATGAGCTTTCGTGTGCATGCACACTTCTTCAGATACACCAAATCTGTATTTGGTGTTGCTGCTACATATCTTCCATTCTCATCCTATCACAGCGGTGGGGAACCTTTTTGGCTCAGAGGGCCAGATCTTTAGCTCCTTCCATTCCTGTGGAGCCATCTGGCGTCATGATGATTTCAGGTGACTGACAGCTGGTGGGGTCCCACCTAGTGTGTTTTCCATAGAGAATGTGCTGGCAAAACATCAACCAGCAGGAATGAACCCTGCCCCCATCTAGTCACTTAAGTGAGCTAATGACATCCCGTGAGCATGATTGGGGGGAAATGGCCACTCAGGTCAACTTGGACCCCCTGGTGGGCCAAGGTCAGCCTGCAGAACAGAGTTTCCTCATCCCTGCCTTCAGGTGTTCTAAGTCTGCAGTCTTAACCATGTTAAGTCCTATTTAATTCAGTGGAACCTATTTCCAATAAGTGGGGTTGGGATTGTAGCCCAAACTCTTGAGGGTATGATTCCATCACTCTTGGGTACCACACTGAATCTGCTAAATAAAAATAGATCAAACCAACAGGTTTGGCCATACGTGATGTTGTTAGTTTTGAGCTATAAAATCCAATGAATTCACAAACCTTAAAAAATGGCACTACCTACATATGAACCTTCTAGCCACCATGCTTGCATGTCTTCCTATTGGCTTCCTAGATCTTAGTGGTCAAGTTAGGTCATGTTAGACTTTGTGGGCAGCTCCCTATTTAGAAGGTAATGTGTGTTGCTTCACTTGGTTGAAAATCCAGAAAGCCAACAAAGCTTCATTTTAGGGGGATCTGTCCACTATTCTGAATGGGGCCTGAAGTTCTGCCCTAATGGCATCACTGCCCAGAAATATCTATTTCACCACTATTAGGAGGATGCTGGAATGAATGGGCCCTTGATCTAGCCAAACAGGCTTCTTGTTAGCCCCCTCTGTTATGTTCATTCATCAAAGTAGTCCTTGCACCAGTTAGCATCCATCCTTGCAATTCAAGCACCTATCTTTTCTGTGGTGGCTCCTCATTTGTGGAATTCTCTCCTCATGGAGGCTCACCTGGCGCCTTCACTACATATCTTTAGGCATGAGGCAAAAATGTTTCTCTATAACCAGACCTTTGGCTGATTCAACAATCAATGGCCTTTTAAATGTGCTTGTGGGAGGGAGTTATTGGGTTTTCGTTTTGGTTGTTCTTATCACAATATGTATTTTGTGATTTCAGTTTGTATCTGTGATATTTGGATGAGGCGTAGTATGAGGAAGGACCACCTGTCTTTGAAACTGTTCTTCTTTCTTGTCTTTTTCAGAAGGACTATAAACCTCATTGCTACTCAGAGGGATATTATCATAGTTGTCAACTTTTCCCTTTTCTTGCGAGGAATCCTATTCAGAATAAGGGAATTTCCCTTAAAAAAGGGAAAACGTTGCCAGCTATGGATATTATTAATATGCTGATATATCTAGATGGAGTCTGATATGTGTTGGGTATTCCCTAAGGCCTAAGCAATTTAGCCTAGGACTATTAGATCAATCAACCATGTGTCCTTCCTTCAGTTCCCACTCTTTGACATCCTGCCTGCTATGCTTTGTTGAAAAACTATCCGGAAGCAGTGGCAACCACCGAGTGCATGAAATTGCAATATGCTGGGCCAAGTCATTGCTCCAGTTACTCCAGTACTGTTGCCTTTTGTTGGCAGCAACTATCCAGAATCTCAGGCAATGTCCTATCCTAGCTCTGCTACCAAATATCCTTTTAAGTGGAGATGTTGGGGATTTAACCAAAGACCTTGCACACACAATATGTATGTGCTCTCATCCATCTAAGCAGTTGGTAGATGGTGACCAGGAATGAAGAGAAACAGAAGAAGCAAGAGGCATTGCTTCTGTAATGGACAGTCAACAAAAGCCTCTTGGAAGGCCTCTTCCTCTCTCCTGCAAGAGTGGCCCCATTTGTTTTTGGTGCACACAGAAAATCCCAGGAATCTCCAAGTAGGGCTGGGCAGAACTCCTGGGGAGCCACTGCCAATAAGTGTAGACAATACTGAACGAGATGGACCAATGGCTTGACTTGGTATAAGGTCTTAAGTTCCAAAGCAGGCTATGCATGCAAGGGCTCTGCTAGGATTGCCATACGTCCAGAATTTCCTGAGCATAGCCAGGATTTGGTCTTTGGAAATGGCTGAAATGTCCAGGAAAAATCAGGTGTATAGCAACCCTTGTCGGGACTCTAGATTTTTGGCAAATTTCCTTTAAAATATCTCAAAAAGCTCACTTTTTTGAGATTTTGCAAATTAAGTTCAACAACTTTTGTGTCTGGATTTTCGCTTTTTGAAAGATAGCTCAGCACAAAATATGTGGGACAGGGAAGGAATACACCAACGTGTCTAGATAAAGGAATAGAGAAGGATGTGCAGCAAGAATGATTCTGCTTCTCTGGGCACTTCTTGCTGGACTGATTTTTTTTTAAAAAAAGAACAACAACCCTACAAACACAAATCTACTTCAGTTGACAAGCAAACCCACACAGGCAGATTTAACCAAACACTTATTTTCCATTTTTATTCAATAATTGCCTTTAATACTAAAATGCATTAGATTCTTGAAGCAGAGAAATAAAAATCACATCAAAGTGGGGAAAACAGTTTGCATCAGGTTTTTTTAAGAAAGAAAAAAAACAATGTGGCAGGTACACCATTCTTTTCAAACAGAGTTGTAATAATTTAATAAAGCTGCTTTATCATCTTCATAAAATAGACAGCATGGTGATTATTTCCCCCACCCCACCCCATTTCTCCCTGTTTACAATGATTCAATCACTGTGAAAATGTACATAACATACATATCAGCATATACAACAAGTTTTGTTCTTCATATTATCAGCAGCAGAGACACGTGAGAAAGCAGGAGAAAACTCAAGTCCCACCAAAATCTTTCCACTGCTAAGCAGGCAACACAAGTGTCTTTAGCATCGTGACGCGTCTCTTTTTCTCCTTTGCTGCTGCTGCAGGACTTCAAACATTTCTGCAACTTTAGACCTTGGCATTTGATTAGCGCCAGGTGGCATCCGTTGCTGAAAAACACAAGCTTCTGCCAGGTCAGCTCTTTGTCATAAAGATTACAAGATCCCAGCTTGAATCAGCTGAACGTCAGCTGATGCCAGTAACAAATCCATTTTCACCGATGCCACGGTGAAAATCTTGCTGGGTTCCTCCACTAAAGTGAATACAACTTCTATGCCGGGTCAACGATTATCTAAAGCTGCAAAGGCAGCTGTACCAACACGATAATCAATTTTCCCCATTGATCGACAAATGAAGTTTCCATTTGTGATTAGTTTCTCTCTTTTTTTTCTCTTTCCCGCCCTCCCTCTCCAAGAGTAATTTCAACATATTAATTGGATAACGTGTTCTTTACAACTTGTTTCCTATTTGGAGAAAAAAAAGGAAAACATAGTTCACTTCTGCACAATGTGTGTGATCCACAAGCCATCTCCAGCTTCACAATAAAACAAGGGAAATGGCAACAGCCTCATCTTGACAATACAGTTAAATGCTCATGTTCATTCCAGCCATGAATCATATTTTACCAGCCCTTCCCACGCTACTGCCTTTGTAAATTTCATTCAAACAACAACAAAATGGATGTTCCTGGGAGGAAAAAGTATAATTTGACTTGTGAGAGGAACTGCCTGTCGGCTAGTCTAGCAAGTAGGCAGAGGGTGTTTTCCCCCTTCTAAAATGAACTACCCATAAATCCACTCATGTTATGGTATCTTTGGAGCTAGATACTCAGAGAATAAGCACTGATTAAATTACAAATGTGAATAAAAAGCATTGCTGCAAATCAAAATCCATATTATACCTGACTGGGGGCAGGGGGGATGCTACGCTGATTCAACAGGTAAACAAAGCAAGTTTGACAGTGAGGAACATTTTGCAGGGTGCTAATATGACTTTCCATGAAATGAAAATAAGTGAAATGGTGGCAGCGAAAAATATTTGCAATCCTATCTTTGATAAAGGCAATGAGGGATGGCTCAAGCACAACAGTGACCCCCCTATCTGGAGCTTTGCATGCTCTACAACAAGCACGGGCAGCCCTTGCATCTGTATAGTGGCCCATTCATTTCAAAGGATGAATGGCCCACAAATCCTTCATTGAAATGAATGGCCCTTCATTTAAATGAATGAAGAAGCCCTTGCTGCTGGGGAGCTTTCATAGGAAGGGCTGCAGCTTAGTTGTAGAGCACATAATTCATATGCAAAGGGTTCCAGATTCAATCACAGTAATCTCCTGTCTGAAACCCCAGAAATTTCCTTTCTGAAACCCCAGTGTAGGCAGTATTGACAAAGTTGGGCCCATGGCCTGCCTTCTATGAGATGACACAACAGAGCACATGCACCCGCTGAGCCATTTGCTTTTGCATATGCCAACACTTGCACACTACAGAATTTTCTTCCAGAGCAACCTATGGACAGAGGGCATTGATTCCTTGATGTGCTCTTTCTCCCTACACACAGAACAGCTGCTCTACTTGGACAAGGATCCAACACTAGTGAAGCATGAAAGTGGCTAATGTCCGTAAGCGCAATGTTTTCGCCTATGGATCTACAAATTACAAAATGCCACAAATCTCATACAATGAGTCCTGTGAAATCAGCGCTGGTTGGAGTTGGGAACTGTGAAAGGGGTGTGTGTGTCATGCTGGGATATTAAGCAGAATCTTGTGAGTCAGGTGACCCAGGAGCCAAACTCTTACCACTGTTGGCATTATAGCTCCAACTACCTCTTGCACTCCCATGGTCTTGACAGTTTGCTAAAGCAGGGCACTGGGCCATCCCTTCTATTCTTTCCCAGCTGCTGGCTGGAATCCTTCTCCTGCTCTTCCAAATACATAATGCATGCAGACTGGATCTTGCTAGCACTCAGATCTTGGTGCCTATCGCAAATGTGGGGGTCTTTTTACACTAGCAGTACCTATGGATCAGGTCCTATCAAAGGATCATGTTTCCAAGAGTTAGGAATAAGTGAACAGCAATTAAGTGGGCGTGATTTCATTAAATTTTCTTCTTCTTTTTTTTAAAAAAGGCAACTTTCAACTTATTGGGCCAAAAAAGCACACTGACAGTCTATAAATTAGATAACTGCATGAAAAAGCAGAACACCAAGCCCTATCCATTTTCTCTACCTTTTTCTAAAGAAAAGAAATTACTCCAGCTTATTTGATCTGCAGTCCGATAAAGATTGGAGGCTGTTTTTCTGTAGCTATTTTTTAATTTAAATAAATCAAAAGTGACTAATTTTTTTTTATCAAGATAGGTTAGAGCCAGGAAGATTGTTTCTCTAGAAACCATTATTTTCTGTTGATTGGCAGAGCAAGTGTTGAAACAGCAATATATTTCCTTCCCAGTGATCTCCAAGCTCTGAGGAGTATGTTGTAGAGCAGCAAATTCTATCAGATGTAGGGCTAATAGCAAGAACAATAGCCCTAACCTGTGTTCCCAACCATCACTGAAAAATTATCCAGTGGGAAATAAAAATAGTAGTAGCAGTAGTAATAATAATAACAAACAAAACATTCCATTCAATTCAACTAAATTTGTCCCTCCTTTTTTTACCAAATGTTTCTTATGGGGATGGGATGGGCATCACTTCACAATTTCACACGTGCAAATTTTGTAGCCACGCAAAATAGTTTGCCGTGGGTGGGAATGATTATTCACTAATGTTCTTGCTTCAAATGAAAGGGATATATCCATAGCGATCAGCAGCACTCTTCTCATATTTAGGCTGCGATTCCAAAACACACTCACTTAACTGAATACAATAACTTCTGAGTAGGCATGTGTAATGACTGCTCTGCCAGTCTGTCTGTTCTTTGATGCACGTTTTCTATTGCCTAGTTTCACTACTTCCATGGTGCACGAAGAAAACCGAGTTAACCCCAGCATTCAAAAGAGCATCCCGTGAGGATGTGCAAACACACATTCACACTAGCACTCAAATGTACCTACATTTTTGCACTCAGTTTGATAAACTTTGATAAACAGAGTAAGTCACACAGCTTATCTGCTTCTGGATGGCTGTCCCCCCCCCACCCCATGCACCTGGCTCATGATGAATGGATGAATCAATTCTGAAATGTTTGGAAAATCCAAGCCAATCTGCTAAACACGCTGTAATGTGCTGTGAAGAGTACCCATCCAGACATGCTGTGCCTCTACCGGACTGACTACACTAACTTCCTCCAACCTCCTTCTGATCAGTTTCTGCTAAGGGCAGATAATTATACCATGTCTTTGCCACAGGCATGATTAGATCAATCAGTTACTGCCAAAGCAGGCACAAAACTTCATTTTCTGAAGTTTCTCCGTGTGTCCCTGGGGGACTCTTTGCTCAGTGCTTCCCTGATTCCAATCAGGAGGCACACCCAGAGGAGGAGTTTTTACTAATGCTAATTAACATGGGTGGCATCCTTCCCCCCCCCCACTTACACACACTAAAAAGTTTCTTGGGGGCCTAAGAGTAAAAGTGCAAGCCCTATTTAGTTCCCAAGGAAGGAGGGAAGAGGAGTACTCTACGCTGCATGGTATTTCAGAATTTTAGGGGGTGGGGAAATTGAATAGCCATGAACAAGGACCACTGTTTCTGGAGCCATCACAAATGTCCCAAATGAAATTACAGTTTAGAATTGCAATAAAACAATTTGGACTTCGTCCACCTGAAGTATGGAGCACCCCAAGAAAGTGGGTGGTCTGCAGAGCTGTGCCCATGTGATTCTGATTTTGAAACAGTGGACAATGTAGTTAAGCAAAATACTAACTTGAATATATATAATGGCAAGGCCATTATTCATGTAAGCATTCCATGCCGCTACATATAAATGGGCGTAAACATTTGCTGGCCTGTTCTCATGAGGTGTTAGGATGTCAACAGCACAGTTGCCTAGGCCAGCCATATGGAAAATGGGATGATGCATGTGGTAAGTACATTTAAGCAAGTCGGGAATGTGCTTGAAATGTTTACACGAGTAATGATTTAACCTGTGGCCTACAACATACATAAATTAGGCCTTTAAAGCATCCTATTCTTCTGGTTCCTAGATAGGTAAAATAAAAATGGGAGATTTGCAGCAGGAAACCAGCATGTCGTTTTGGAGAAATAATGTCATATTCTTCCTTGAAAATGCAAGGAAAAGGAAAAGGGTGGGAGGGGGGAGAAACTGATCTCATAAAAATTTCAAGACAGTGCATCTAACAACTGCAAATGAGATGCTAGATAACCCCTAAAAGACCTGGGGAAGAAACATCGCACAGTGGTGGAGATAGTATGTGGTACAATCATCTGGCAAAATGACAAAGAGCTATGACAAGATTGGCTCTAAATTTTGCAGTTTCTCCAGGTCTTAAGATTGTTTGTTTGTTTGAAGAAAAGGAACGAAAAAAAGAAAACGAACTTGAAAGCATTTCCCATCACTAGACATACAGGAATTTGCAATATCAAATACGATAATAGTACAGAGAAGCATGTGGCAGCAAAAGGTTTCCAAAGGCAGGGGTGTCCACAGCAAAAGAGCAACATCTTAAAAAGTACAAATTAGGCTCTGGGTGTGGGATGAGACAGAAAATTCACCGGCCACAGTCCATAACTCCATGGGGTGCTAATGTACATTTGGAGATGTTGAGCATCGAGCCCCTTCCAGCATGGAACACATTGAAGTGGCCCCATCTTGCACATCAGAGCTCCCACAAGTGCACCAAAACTGCCGATCAGGGCAACCCAATCTCCAGTTTGCCATGGCAAACGAGCACCCCATTGCTGAAGTTTGGAGGCATGACAAGGGGAGTACTAAGGGGAAGAGCCATCTCAGTGGTTCAGCATCTCCAGGTAGGGCTAGGAAAGACTCCTGGTCTGAAACCCTGGAGAACCACTGCCAATCAGAGTAGAAGACAATACTAAGCTAGGTGGACCAATGGTCTGACTCAGTAGGAGGCAGCTGATTATGTTCCTAGAGATTACTTGAAACTGAGGTGTGTGGTGTGGTTTTTCCTTTAGCGATTTTTGTTTCGTTGGGGGGTTTTTTAGATCCAATTCTTCATACAGAATGCCATTTCATAATAAGAGTTTTTGAGCTACAAAAATATATAAATCCAAAATACTTCATAGATAATACTTCCAACCACTGAAATGCCACCACTTCTACCATAGCGGGGAGAAGCTGAAGAATGGTGCTACTTTTACTTAGACCAACACCCCTGCTGCCTGTTGAACCAAGTGGGATTGTCACATTAATGATAGCTTCATATTTTTTTTATAAACAATACATTTAGGGAAAGCTTTTAAATACAGCGAATTTGTGAACCATCAGTAAGCCATTAGAAACAATACACACATCCAGTACTGTTGTTTCCTTTCCTTTACAGTGCAACTTAGAGTACTATGTCCTTTAGCCTCTTCACACCAGGTGAGTCCTTCTCTCTACATTCTTGCAGAAGAGGGTTAATCTCATGCATGATATTTTCACTGTCTGCACCCCTCGGCTCCGCCTCAATGGGCCGAGAAGGGCCATTGTTTACAAACGGCTCCAGGTCGCGACTTCCTGGGCAGTGCATTACGTTGTAGGACACTGATGGTTTGCCAGACAAGGGGCTCTTCAGGTGGATAGGCGACATGATGGGGCTGACAGCTTCGCAACCATTCCCTGCCTCCCGGACAGCACCGTTTACCTTCGGGCTACAGATGGGCGGATCCACTGTTCTTTTACCTTTCGAGTTGACTGGGCCCCGCTCCTCGGAGACAGGTTCACTCCCCTCTTTGCCAAATGTTGCAAAAGTTCTCTTTGTGCTACAGTCTTCGTAAAGCTCTGTATCCACAGTGGTAGCTTCTATGGAGAGGGACACGACATTCCTTCCATGCTCGGGGGATTTTGCTCGGCTGGGCACAGGGTTCCGGGGCATCCAGCATCGGTCAGAATGGCCAAGGATCCGGCACTCTTCCCGGCAATGAAATCCCTCACTCTGATCTGTAGAGAGAAAGACAAAGAAGGGCAGGTGATATATCATGAGCTGCTACACCCAATCCGAAATGCTCACTTGCTGAGGCTTAGCTCCAAGACCTATTGATAAACGACACTACAAGGAAGAATGCAGAGAAGAAACTTGTTCTCAAAATTGCCAGCTTGGAAGATTTATTGCATTTCATCACATTTCGGAAGGCAGGTTCCTTCTTCTGGGGAACAATCTACAAATAATTAAAAATATAAAAGCCAACTCTTGGTGCACAGGCACAATCATACACAATGCTATTAAAAACATTTGAACCATTTGGAATATATGTAGTATGTAAGAGAGAGAGAAATTATTATTATAATTATTATTACTTCTTCCCAATACCCTTACCAGGTTGAGTTCACTATAAAATTATATATAATTATGAAACAAACAAAACAACTATAAAATGAAAGAAGTGTAAGTACAATTACAAACTGTTCCATATATAAAAACAGTGGTTGGGACAATGTACAGTACAGTACAGTACATCATATCATATCAAATCATATCAAATCAAAAACACACTTCCATCTAGTCACCAGACCCAGAAACTGCTTAGTTTCAGCAAGATTGTCTTATGTGCCTTCAGACAATGCTCTGGGAACAGGCGTATCTACACCACAGCTCTCAAATGTGCTCTCTGCACAGAGAATCCTGGGAACTTGATTTCTTATTAGTAGTAATTGGTTGAATATGACCGCTTGGCGCAGACAACTAAGTATACCTGAATACTTTTGGTCAGATACATATGCCTCAAGAAAACCAATTAGTGTTTGAGGGTATAACTACACCACAGATAAAGTAGTTCAGCAATCATTTCTTCTCCCAGGGAAATTGTTGGAATTGTGATTATGTAAGCCACAGGCAGGCAACTTCAGCCCTGTGGGCTAAATGTGGCCCCCAAGTGCTCTTTATGAGGCCCTTAGGAGTCTCTCCAGAACTGCTCCACACACTTTTCAAGGGCTCCTGCCTGGAGGAATGTCTTGTGACAGTGCCTCCTGCTTGCCTGAATGCAAGTGGTGGGGTGTGTAAGAATCTCTGACTTTTGCATGGCTAGAATACAGTCTTCTTGCCATACAAAGGGAAGAGTCGTGCCCATTGATCTTTTGCCTTTGGCCCCAGCTGCCACTGGCATGTGGCCCCCAGGAAGTTGCATGTGCAGGAATGCAGCCCTTGAAAAAGGCTCCCCCACCCCTACTATAAGGCATGTAGAAAAGGAATTACCTGCAAGGACAACTAGGGAATCCATTAACAGCTAAATTGGCATAAAACCTACTACATACATTTGTAGGGTAGATTTCCAGGAGAACTGCAATTCTGCCTATTTTTAATCCCATATACACACCTCTCGTTTCTATAACAAGTAGTAGACATTGGCAAAGTGACATTTTAAAGGGCTGTTTTTATCGCAGTGGGTTTCTCTCCCCTGCCCCCACTTCTATTATTATTTTAACAGGCTGAAGTTCAGCCTCCAACAGGCTAGGTGTCGTTCAGAATTTCTGCTGCTGCTGTCAGAACAAAAAGCTGAAGGGAAACACATTACGATGGGAAATAAATTAAACCACGTTCAGCCTGCGTGGCTGGCTGCGTAGGAGTCAGCATTTTCTTCTTCCTATTGCCAGCGCTAAAAGGCATTGTGCTTTAAACCTTGCTCGACATGAGATATCCAAGTATAAACTCCACACCAGGCAATGAATTTTGCTGGCTCCTCTTTTTATACTTTAGTTGATTTGTACTTGATTTCCAACAGAACTGCAGTGGTGTTTGTAGGCACCTACCAGTCTGAGAGGGGCTATAAACAAGTATTCTGCTCAGATTCACCATGTAGCCAGATATTTACTCATGCCAGGTGATGTGCCACAGTTACTTAGGGGCGACTAAATGATGCTTGTTTTACTACTTGGCCACAGTATGAGGATTAACAACAGAACAACAAAAGTTAACTTTGTGAGCTCTTATGATTGCTAAAGGACTTATACAGTACTTTGAGCCTGGAAGGATAAATATTCACTGTCCATGCATTGATATGAGGACCTCATGGCCCTGACGGCATTTGAACATATTGCGTATAGATATCAATCTCACATGGAAACTTATTTGGCCATCTGGAGACTTTATATTAACTTATCTATTTAATTTAAGTTGCGTGTACTGTCAGTTATTGTTTCCATAATGTGAACTGATGCTGTATATTATTATTAGTAGTAGTGGTAGCTGTATCTATATTTTATTTATATTAATTCTTTTTCCCCTTCCCCCCTACTTTTACTTTTTAAATTTGCAAATAAAAAAATGATTCGGGGTGTTTTTTTTCTAAGACAAAGGAACAGGGCAAAAGAGGGTATGAATGTCTACTTATCCATCAGCCCAAATGCCCCCTGAAAGCTAGTTGTTACGGTATATTTAACATGCTCTATACTAGGAAGGACAGCAAAGGGTACATTGGAAGTGATCTCACTCCACATGACAAAGCAGCTATAGATTCCCTCCCCCCAAAAAGCCATAGGAAGTAATTCAGTACTGTGGATGTATTGTCCACACCCCCTGGACCAAAATGCCGTGTTCTGAACAATAAAGCAACAACCATAACCCAAACATGGATCTTGAATTCACATAGTCTCACAATGTTTTAGTGAACATACAAGAGAACATTAAATAGTTCAAGCATTACACTTATCAAAGAGAGCCAATCACATTTTTTTAAGGACTTACATGTCCCTAGAGGGTGAATGCCTGATAAAACTTCATGAACATAGGTTAAAGGTGAACATCACAGCTCTATAAGCCTATTGAGTTTCCTGACCCTCTGAATAATCTACTATGCATTTCATTTTCTGCTAATGAAGTGCTAATAATATCTCTATCAAACTCTTGGAGATTTCTATCCTAGATGCAACCAAAAGGAGCACCAACAATTGTCTATATGTATTATCCTGTCATTACTTGGTATTAACAATAAAGAGCACATAAATAAAGGAGGCATCCAAGGGAGGAAATGTTGTAGTAAAGGGTGACTTCAATTACCCTCACATTGACTGGATAAATGCATGCGTCAGTCACAAAAAGGGGCGGAATTATCAAGCTACCCTAAATGGCTGTGCCCTAGAACAGCCAGTCATAGAACTGGTAAAAGGAGGGGGACCCTGAACTTCATTACACATATCAGGATTAGCCTCTTGCCACCACAAGATGCAGTAACAGCAACCAAGTTGGATAGCTTGAAAAAGGGGTTTAAAATAAATTCGTAGAGGATAAGGCTAACGACAGCTAATGGCCAGGATGGCCTATTACAACCTCTAGTACTGGGGTAGGCAAACTAAGGCCCATGGGCCAGATGCGGCCCAAGCGCCTTCTCAATCTGGCCCACAGATGGTCCGGGAATCAGCGTTTTTTTACATGAGTAGAATGTGTGCTTTTATTTAAAATGCATCTCTGGGTCATTTGTGGGGCATAGGAATTCCCCCCCAAAAAATATAGTCCGGCCACCCACAAGGTCTGAGGTATGGTGGACTGGCCCATGACTGAAAAAGGTTGCTGACTCCTGCTAGTATCAGAGGCAGGCATGGCTGTGAATACCAACTGCTGGAGAACATGAGTGGCAAGAGCACTGTTGTATTCTTGTCCTGCTTGTGGGCTTCCCACAGACATCTGGGTGGTCACTTTGAATGCCATGATGCAGCAAGGTTCTTTGTACATTCTTACAGCCTGGACCTACCTCAGTAATAAAGCATGAGCCCAATCCCTAGTATCTCCGGTGAAAATGATCTTGGGTAGCACAGAACAGGTGAAACCCTTGTCTGAGCATCTGGAAAGCTACTCTACTATCAATACTGTATTGATAGTCTGACTTGGTAACGGGTGAATTTGTAACGGGTGAATAATTGACAAAAATCCCATCCGTGAGAATCTAAAGATTTACATGGTGTTGCTTTAGTTAGCACACAAGATTGTGAGCCCGTCAAGGGAGAGCTGCAAGAATACTAGGTGTGCTCATTATAAAGGACAGAGGTGGGAGACAGGAGGGGGGGAGGATGGCGGGGAGGGATGGGAAGAAGGCGGCAGGAACGCCAGCTGATAGGAAAACATCAAGACAAGAAGAAATAAGAGACCTGGATGTGTTATGGCTAAAAATAAAAGAAGAATTTAGACAGAATGAAACACATATAGAGAAAAAGTTAGGAGAGATGCAGGAATCTTTTGATAAAAAAATGGAAGACATAGTGGGAGAACTATCAATTAAAATAAAAGACCTAACAACCCGAACAAAATCTCTAGAAGAATCAAACAAAAGAGTGTATAGAGAAATGAAGGACCAGAGAAAAGAGGTTGAAAAACTTAAAGAAAATTTCGGGGAATTAGGGAAAAGCCAGGATCAAGTTTTAGACAGCTTAGCCATGATAGAAATGAAACAAAAACAGTCCAATCTTAAATTTAGAGGAGTGGGGGAGCAAAGGGAGGAAGATATCAAGGTAAAAATGATTAAGGAGCTAGCGAGATGGCTAACTCTGACAGAAGAAGAGGTTGAACAAACAATAGAGAATGCATTCAGAATTAAAACAAAATCTAATCAAAACAGGTTGAAAAAGTTTCCAGGGGATTGTTTAGTGATCTTTAAGTCGGTAGAGATGAGGAACATAATCTTGAAAGAAAGCTACCAGAAGAGATTGATAATTGACGGAAAACCAATTATTATCTTCAAAGAAATTCCAATTAGATTCCTCCGCAAGAGAGAGGGTTACAAACAATTAGTTAACACGCTAAAAAGAAATGGCATAAAACATAGGTGGGAATTCCCAGAGGGGATTTCCTTTTTTCACAAAGGGAAAAGATTTAAGATCACAGAAAGCCAGGAAGTCGGCAAATTTCTACGCAGATATGAAAAGGATTTTGGAGAGACGGGGGAGGGGGCGGGAAGGGGGGGCATGGGGGGAGGGGGGGAGGAGGAGGAGGAGAGGGACAAAGGAGAAGAGGA